TTTTTAGTAAGCGTAAATTAAGTGAACAAACACAAACAAACAAGAAAAAAAAAAAAAGAAACGAAAGTGAAAAACAAAAAGAAAAACTAAAACCAATCAATTGGTTTGTGTGTGTGTTTTATAATTGTTTTCTCTTTAATTTTATTAAGCATATTGCATTTGATTTTGCATAAAATTTGTAACAGTTCATTGTATACAAATCAGATAGAAGGACAGCAGCAGCGAAACAGAGAAAGGAAAACAAAACAAAATTTAAAATTGTATTTTATAATTAAATACTAATACTATATTTCGTATTTGCTAATTGAAAACAAAAACAAACAAAGAAAGAAAATATCCCAAATTTCAAGCAGGTGTCAACTTTAGCCCACCTTTTAATAAAACAAACAAAATCAACAACAACCTATAAGTAGATTAAAAAACTACAACTAAACTTAAAAACCTCACATAAAACTAACCTAAAAGAAAGGGGAAACCAACTAAAACGAAAAATAAATCAAAACACAAAAAAATGAAAAAAAAAAAAAAACAACTAAAAATGAATGTAATGAAACGTAAATACCATAAATTATACAACACACAAGTGTTCAATTCGAGGGTCGAAATAAGAGTTTTCCATAGGTGTATATATACACACACATACAGTCCAGTCTCACACAAACACACACACACACATTTATACATATGTATTTTATCTGTACTCTCTGTGTATAACAGCTACGAAGCAACTGTTATACCCGCCAAGTCGAGCCAGCGATGAGACGCAGACAACTTTGTAGTATAACTTAACTGAAAAGAAAAAACAAAAACGAAAAGAATATTACAATACACACACACATATATATATATATATAGTCCTACGAATATATAGTTTATATTTAAGTTGTGTCTCTCACCTAAATGCCAAGCAAGCAATGTTAGTGTACAGCTGTGTATAATAGTTTTCGAGAATTGAGAATTTGAGATTACGAGTATATATATGAAACTGAATTGTTACTATTGTTTGAGCGAGAGAGGAGGAGAGGGAGTCGAAGATAGAGAGCGAGAGAGTGGTGGAGAAGGAGGAGGAGAGGAGAGGAGAGCATTGTAATCTGTTTGCCTTGAAACAAAAACAAAAACAAAAAATAACGGTGCTGAAATGTTAATTTTTATATAACGAAAAAAACAAGCAACAAGTGTTACATAAAAGTGTTATATTAAAAGAAAAGTTATAAAAAAAGAAGAGAGAAACGAGAAACGTTAACTAACAAGCTGTTATATAAATCACAACATATGTATACCTATATATAACAACACATTACAATATGCGGCCCCATTTCAGGCCCAAACATGCTGTGGCCGATATGCGGGCCAAATGTCACTTTTTTTTTTCTTTTTAAGATTTCATTCATAGTTTAAATGTTGGCGTTTCGTACATACATCAATGTACATCAATGTACCGAACTTGTCATTATTATTTCGCATACGTTTTCTTTCCTCTAATTTACACAGCAAACATAAAATAGGTGTATATGCATATACATACAAATATAGTGTAAAACAGTTAATTTTCCATAGCTGCTAAAATCGTAACTGAAGTAACTGAATCGGAGCAACAAACAATCAAACAGGAGCCAAGACAATAGCCCAATTTTGTTGAAATAGACATAGAAATAGAGAATAATAACGTGAAATTTTTTATTATTATTAACCACTTATATATCTTCTTTTTTTTTATATACATATTTTACAATTTTTTTGTTTGTTAAACATTACATTACATACATATTACATAAACAAGCATCTTTAATTACATAAATACATACATATTCACATAGATTAATCACTATATTCCCTTTTTGTTTTCTTACTGCATTAAGTTAGATATATATCCTATATATATATGCAGACTATAGACAGTTAACAGCTCGGGCTTTGCGTTACTTTTGCCTGTATAACACTTGCATTTTCGACTGTTATATTCGTGCATTTATAACTGAATAGAACAACAACAACAAAATCAACATTTCGGCCAGAAGAAAACTAAAAAAAGAAGAAAAAACCGTTTCATAACAGACAAAGATTCAAATTCAAATTCGAAAACTCAAAACATTTTAAGGCAGATTTAGGACAGAGTTTTTTTCTTTTTTTATTTTTATTTGTTTGTTATACATATAACACAACAAGAAAGAAAGAAAGAAAAAAATGGAAGAAAAACATACGGAAAGATCTATTGACGAAGATTGAAAAAGTAATTCAAATACCTCAATGTAAGTGCATTATCTTATATGACAAAAAAAAAAAAAAAAATTAAAAAAAAAAAAAAAAAAACAAAACAAACTATAAATGTAAAGCAAATCAAATAAATGTTAAAAGAGCAGGAAAAGCTTAAGAAAAGAGCAACCTAACGAAATATATAAAGTATGAGCTGAACAATTGCAGAAGAAACTGAAAAGGAGAAAAACAAAAAACAAAAATAATTGAAAATAAAATAATCATAAAGAGAAGATAATTTTGATAGTTTTTAAGCAATGAAACTAAAAGAAAAGAAGAAAATAACCTGATATACATACATATAACATTAAAAGAAACAAAAAGAAAGCGACGAATATAACAGAAAACAACAGTAATAACAACAGCAACAACAAGAGCAACTCTGAGCCCTGAGCGTGGGCGAAAAGGATAGATGCTTTCCGCCGTTAACCAACACTGCACACTAAAGAGAGATAGACATATAGCTCGCTCAGATGTGCCAGCGTTGACGCCCTGAGTTGCATGCCAATTGAGAGTACGCCGGACAGATCCAGACATAGAACCAAAACTCAGACTCAGAACCGAAACCAGAATCAGAACCAAGAACCAAGAACCACGAACTACGAACCACCAGACCCATTATGGAATAAATCAAGTGAAAATTGTTAATGTTTTGCTATTTCCTATTAAGAAGGAGGAAGAGATATAGATAGAAAGAAAGAAAGAAGGAAGAAGAAGAAGCAGCTGCTATACAGTTCCATATATAACTGAACGTTTTGTGTAGCTTGAGTAAATTTGGAGCATAGGAGGTGGGCAGGTTTATTATGAAGTGTGTATATACAAAGGAATTTTTTCTAGGCATAACAGTAATAT